TAGCTGCAATAAGCTTTATCGGCATCTTTATCATGCACAAGCTCCTTCATCCGTGTAAGCCTCGGATTTACCCGCTCACTTACTTTGTACCTGCAGCAGGTCTTATCTTGCTCTACAAGTTCGAACAAGCATAAAAGGCTTCTGAAGTCTTCCCTCTTAAACATTTCAAGAATTGCTCGAGTGTAAATGGGTGCCATTTGATGTTGCATTGGTGTTCGAAATGGTAGTGGAGGTTTTTCATTGTTATCAACATGATCAATCATTAACTCCTTGTGCCTCTGTGAACCAAGAACTTTTTCAAAACGTACTATGAATTCCATCAACGTGTTTTTCAGGTTAATATATTGTTTGAAAAATGAATGATAGCTTTTGGCTCGTTGACTACTTGACATCCCAGCCGAAAACACATGTTTTACATATGATAGAACCCAATTCTCCCGCAAAGCATGAATTGAGCTCAGCCTAGGATGGTTTTTCAGCCCATTGTTTGTGATGATTTCGTCTCATTTCTCATCACATTCTTGTTTCATGTCAATACCCCATATGCATTTGCACATTTATGAAAAACATTCTCCAATGCCGGGTTTCTTCGTAAACTTATTCAAGATATGCCATATGCAATATTTATGGAATGTTGTCGGGAGAGTTACAACAATTGCCTTTGATATGGCTGCATCTTGATCAGTGATGATAATTTTGGGTGGCTCACTGTTGCGTAGATACAGCTGCACCAAAATGGATTCAGTTGCATCCTCAACTTGTGATACTCGCAAGTGCACGAGCCGCTAATTAGGAATGCACAACCAAACAACACTGTCTGCCAATGATTATTAACTCCTAACAAAGGTGCAAAGACCATCCCATAGCGGTTTGTGTTGAACGTTTTATCAAATACCACTACATCTCCAAAAAACCCATAAGCTCGTCTTGACCTTGCATCTAACCAGAAAACATTACCCATCCTTCTTTTCGAATCTACCTCCATCTTGAAATAAAATGATTCATTCTTTTCTTGCTCAGCTAAAAAATGCTCCTTAAGTAGCTCTGCATTATGCTCAATCCCTTATATAATTATAGACATCTCTCTTAACAAACCCAACATTTTCCAATCCCCCTACTTGCACCTCAAGAAGGCTTACCTGTTTATGTACAGGGATATTAACTTTGCTCATATATGTGCACTATAGACCTTTGTAGACTCTGTTAAGTAACGGTGAGATCTCAATAGATGGACTTTATCAACTGTGGTCATGTCATGGTTGTGTACCTTATTGAATCCTACAACAATGTACTTATTCTTGTTTTTTACCTTCAAAATCGCAAGTTTAGCCTTGCAACCAGTTCGAGTACAACCTCGCTGTCTTCTCTTACTACTAACATTGCTTGTTAACGAATACCCTTGTTTACAACATACATATTCTTTTCTTGTTACTTCTCCTGTCAATGTGCACGTTCTCGTTGTAGAACACTGAATGATGAATCCAGCTTTCGCGGCATACATATTATAGAAATTGAACACATCCTCACAACAATCAAATTCAAGTCTCAATTTTGGTGTCACCTATCTTTCACACTCCATTTCACAATTCTTGCAATTTAACCTTGAATATCACATCACCACCATCATACCAACATTGGCACATGCTTTCAAAGAGCTTTCAAATATATATTAACTAACATACGATATGCAAATGAGTCTCTAGTGAAACATTAAAGAACCTACATACAAACTAACGTAACTCATGCTGATGCCCAATACTAAAATTGACAAATACAATATATCACTTACCTCGTAAGTGATTTCTAACTTCAAAATTTCAACAAATATGACAATGTCGCCCTTTTAGATCTGGACGTCAACCCCAAAAACTTTTCATTTTCCTCAACCCCTATTTTGACCATGCTCAAGGATTTCAAAACCAAAAGAACATAAGCACAAGGGTTGCGGTCACCAGTTTCCAACTTAACGCCAGTTTCGGCGTTGCTCTAGGATTGACGAATGTTCCGACCAGAAAGATTAAACCACAAAGACGAAAATATAAAATCGAAGATTGCTTTGTTTCGCTTGAGAAAGCCAAAAAAATGAGGGCGCTCTTCAGTGTTCTTCCTCAAAAGAGAATAAGGAATTACAGGGGCGCTCTCTTTTCAGTGTTAGTGTTCTTCCTCAATCAAAGCAGATAAAAAAATTGGCCTCCTAATTAAACAAAACGAACAACTGGTTTGGAGGGGATGTTTTGGAGGGAGGAGAGAGAAGAAAGCCTCGTTCTAATACAACAGTTTCACTTATAATTGTTTTTCACGCATCCGTTAGATTATATCCAATGGTGTTCTCATATAATGTTCTTATATAGGTGTTCTCACTAGATAACCGCCCCACTTTCCTTTGTTCTTTGTCATGGTAAATGGGTGGAAGTACTCTAAAGCTAGTCCCTTCAACTGCAAGCTTTTCATAATATATTGGAAATTGCCACGTGGTAATAATAGATTGGACAGATGATGCAACGAAAAACGTTTTTGTTTGTCCGCTGGAAGCAACGGAGAACATGAAAAACTTCACAACAAAAATAGAAGGCAAAAACGGGGAGAGGAGTGAGTTAATAAACCAATCCAATCTCACAAATTAATTTGTACAACGCCGTGTATCTCTCTCTCCCTCCCTCTCTCTCAAATCAACGCGGCCTCTGCCAACGAAGAGCAGAAATCGACGCCGCCTCCAGCCTCCCAGGTCCTCCTCTCCAACAACACCATCACGCAAACCACCAAAGATCAGCAACCCCAGGTTTTTATTTTTTTAATTATTTTTTTTCCTTTAACGTTTTGGATTCTTTGGTGGTGTTTGTTTTTGGGATGCTGACTTATAATTTTGTGTGCTTTAGTTTAATCTTTCAGTTTCCAATATTTCCGAAACCGATTGGAACCGACCCAACGGTAGCCTAATGAACAGAATTTAACTTATATTAAGATTAGAACGACTCAAGTAGACTTTGAGACTTCTGTTTGTGCCTTTATTGTTAGCCTGAAATCATTGATAGATATGTAATTAACAGTGCTGGCAATTTTTTGGAGTGGAAAAATATGAGTGAGATTTAGAATTAGTACATTGATTTCAATTAGATACGCTTATTACGAAAGATGTCTTGCTGTAGGCCCATTTGAACCCAACGGTAGCCTAATGAACAGAATTTAACTTATATTAAGATTAGAAAGACTCAAGTAGACTTTGAGACTTCTGTTTGTGCCTTTATTGTTCGCCTGAAATCATTGATAGATATGTAATTAACAGTGCTGGCAATTTTTTGGAGTGGAAAAATATGAGTGAGATTTAGAATTAGTACATTGATTTCAATTAGATACGCTTATTACGAAAGATGTCTTGCTGTAGGCCCATTTGAATTGGAGCAGTCTTTGATCTAACTGCTTTTTTATTTTTGTGTTTTTGTGTCTGTTTCACTACAGAAATGTACAATAATGTAGGAACCCAGCCTGGGGTGTCAATGCCCACTGCAACTTCACAGCCAAATCCGTTTGGGGATGCGTTGTACGGTGCTAGTTCAGGACTTATCCGTGGTGGATTGGGTGCTTACGGAGAGAAAATTTTAGGATCAAGCTCTGAGTATGTACAAAGCAATGTAAGTAGCCGTCGACTGTTAGGGTTAAACTATGAAAGATAGAGTTATGTATTAATAGCTTATTGCTCCCAATTTTCGTGAAAAATATAAAGTTTCTGATTCAAGTTAATATCTTTTAATCATATGACGGATTGGGATATTTTTATGCTAGCAAATAACATGTTCAACAGGGATTCATGAATCCGTTTTGTACCTAGTTTATTTATTATTATTTAAATCAAATTGACATGCTTTTAATTTGGTATGAATGATGCTTGATATAAAGGGAATGGATTGTCATTATTGACTGAACCTTTTTGGAAATCTTGATTCTGGTTGTTCAATTTCTTCTTTCTTGGTTTGTTTCTCGATGCTCTTGGTTGGGTGAATGGTTGACGATCCATGTTAATTAAATTGGTCTATTGTATTGTACATAATGGCCTGATTTGCCAGTTTAAAGTTTGTTTGGAGATGCTGCTATATCCATAGAATGCCTCCATCTTATAGTCTACCTAATAATATTTTGCACTGATCTCGAGCTCATTTAAATTGTATCCAACTACTTTTAAACACGGTTACAACCTTGTATGATTGTCTTCAAGTGACTAGATTAGCCCGTCTAATATCTGGTAGCTCGTAGATGTTGAAGTTGTTCTTAAGTTTGTACTTAATTTAAGGTAATTGATCTTTATTCTGACAGTTTGTGTTGCAATGAGCAGATCAGTAGGTATTTTTCTGATCCGCAGTACTACTTCCAAGTGAATGACCAGTATGTGAGGAACAAATTGAAGGTGGTGCTATTCCCATTTCTGCACAGGGTAAGTGCTAATGTTTGTGTTTTTCTTGGAGGAATCAGATTATCCTTCCATAGAACTTACTCCTTCCCCCCACCCTCTCTTTTTCTAGGGCCATTGGACCAGAATAACTGAACCAGTAGGAGGCAGGCTTTCTTATAAGCCCCCAATTTATGACATCAATGCTCCGGACCTATACATTCCATTTATGGCATTTGGTACCTATGTGGTTCTGGCTGGCTTGTCATTGGGTCTTCAAGGAAAGTAAGTATTATGAAATTTCTAGATATTACTCTTAACTCTTGAGCAGTTCCTCTTTTATTCCAGTTAATGCTCAAATGGAAAATCATTTTGTTATAGGAATGAAGATTTGAGTTTCATCATAACTTTAGAAGGGAGCTATGCATTCTGTCTTTTGCTGTTAGTTTCCTTGTATAGGAATGCAGTATCTTACTTTTGGTTTGTACTCTCTACTTTAGTGTGCCAGTTTGGAAAAAGAGTTTTACTTAGTACCCATATATTTGCTCCTTTCGTTTGTATAGTGTAGCTGCATTTAGTTTTCCCCTTGTTCATAGGTTTTAACTCTATCACTATTGTTTCAACCTCTTAAATAGCTTATGGGAGGCCAAACGAGAAGTAAAAGTATGTTACAGTAAAATGATATTCTGTTGAAGCTTTCCTGGGCCTTGGTACATCTCAACTCCTACATTAGTTAAGTCAAGAGTAAAATATGAATCATTACCTTTTAGTTATTAAAGCTTAAAAGCAAGATAAGCTGTTTGAAACTGTCATCTAACATGGTGTTCAAAATAACACTGTTTTCCTAGATTATGCATATGACTTGTAAGTTGGAGTATTACATATGTCCAAAGAGGTATGCTGCTGACGAGACCAAAGACTCTTTCAGAAGTCCGTACTGTTCTTTTATTGGTTAACATGAGTCCAAATTTTGCTTTTTTGTTACAGAAACATGAGTCTAAATTTTGCTTTTTTGTTACAGAAATCAGAACCCATTGATACACTAGTTTGTTTTCCTTTTCCTTCTTTTTTCTTCTTCTTTTTGTGTTTTTTTAAAATATAAATGCACTGCAGATGTCTTTAGATTAGGTAGGAGTATTCTAGGTGTTTTGACTCTTGGAGAGAAAGTAATATCTTGCATTTGGACATCGAAACAATTAGCTATTGGATCTTTTCTCAACATCAAGATTTTATTACCACTGCATTTTTTTTCAAATGTGCATCGCCCAGTCCTTAGCTTCCTCAACCCACATCATTATTTCAATTAAGATTTTCTTTGAGAAGCTTAGGTGTTTTTTTGTGTGTGTTTAATTATGCTTTTGGTATTTCAGTCTTTCAATGTTTTTTGTGTATTGCCTGCCAGGTTCAGCCCAGAAGCTCTAAACTGGTTGTTTATCAAGGGATTGTTTGGTTGGTTTTTACAAGTTGCACTACTGAAAGTAACACTGCTTTCCTTGGGTAGCGGTGAGGCACCATTTCTAGACATTGCGGCATATGCTGGGTATGCTTTCACAGGGTTGTGCTTGGCTGTGCTTGGACGGATTATGTTGAGTTACTCGTACTATTTTTTGATGCCGTGGACCTGTTTATGCATGGGAGTCTTCTTGGTGAAGACTATGAAGAGAGTACTTTTTGCGGAGGTGAGGACTTATGATTCAAGCAAGCACCATTATCTCTTGCTCTTTATTGCTTTGGCTCAGTTCCCTCTTTTTACATGGCTTGGCAACGTTAGTGTTAATTGGCTTATATAAGACAGCTTATTTTGTGTGAGTTAGAACCAATTCTTGTTATAGAGGTTTCCGACATCTTGTACGCAATTTTCTTTTTATCTTCTCTATAATTTTATTAGCATTTTGTAGGACGAATCTACGTTTGGTGCAAACAGATGCCCACAGTAGTTTTCCCATTTCTTGCAATGCATAATGCTGATTGGTTTAGCTGGCACAACTCAAAACATGCTTATACAAAACATTTATTAAGACTCATAGACATTTATCAAATTTATTCCTATATTCTTTTGCATTGATCACCATATTTCATCAGCACAATAGCACATAGAAAAAAAAAAAATAATCCCATTTCATAACAAACGCACAAGCAATTTGTCAAAGCACTTCTCCCTCAAGTATTCCATGCACCCCTCACTTTCCAGGAACAAAGTTTGTGGCATATGCCCAGGCATTGTTGTTAACAGGGTCAGCCAAGTGGTCAGCTAGGTTTTCTATTGGTCCCTTTCCAGTAACAATGGCCTGCACAAAGAACCCAAACATAGAAAACATAGCCAGTCTTCCATTCTTGAGCTCCTTCACCTTCAGCTCAGCAAAAGCTTCTGGATCCTCTGCAAGGCCTAATGGGTCAAAACTCCCACCTGGGTATAGTGGGTCTGTTACTTCACCAAGAGGCCCACCGGCAATTCTGTACCCTTCCACCGCACCCATCAAGATAACTTGTGTTGCCCAAATCGCCAAAATGCTCTGGGCGTGGACTAAGCTTGGGTTCCCCAAGTAGTCTAGCCCACCCTCGCTAAATATTTGGGCTCCAGCCTTGAACCAAACAGCCTCACCGAACTTGACTCCGTTACGGGACAAGAGTTCAGGGAAAACGCAGCCCAAGGCACCGAGCATGGCCCATCTTGAATGGATAACCTCAAGCTCACGGTTCTTGGCAAAGGTCTCTGGGTCTGCTGATAGCCCAGCAGTGTCCCAACCGTAATCACCAGGGAATTCTCCGGTGAGGTAAGATGGGGCCTCACCAGAGAATGGGCCCAAGTACTTGACACGGTCGGGGCCGTACCACGGGCTGCCGGATGACACAGTTTTGGACTTGGCTGCGGATTTGCGCATGGTGACCCGGCCCTCACCGAGAAGGTTAGGAGTAGAGGGACTAAGCTTGACAGCTTGGCCTGCTAGAGAAGAGGAGGAGAGAGCCATTGTTGAAGATGCCATTTCAGAAAAAAAAAAAATGAAAGTGTATTGTCTTTTAGACAATGTGGAAGTGCCGATTGCTTGTTTGAAGAGAGTAGTTAGTGAGTATACTTATAGTTCTTGGCGCATTGGGTCCTTATCTATGGGATATCTTCATCTCTTTTCTGATTGGTGAAAATGAAGTTATCAGATTTTCAAGATGAATTTCTTTTTTTTCTCTCTTTCCAGTTGGCTTCACATGCTCCACTAGTTAGTTTCTTAAACAAAAAATAAAAAGGAAAGAAAAAGGAAAATCTGTTCTAGATATTATGCTATAAACGCTAGCCAGAAGAATTTGCCTTGTAAGTTGTATCGACTTAATGTCCAGTTGGGTTCATATGCACCACTAGTTAGCTCCAAAATGGCAAAAACAGGGAAAAGAAAATGAAGAGGAAACTCAGTTTTGGATATTTGACATGCTCTGCTGTGCTCTAACCAATAGGATTTGGCCACCTACTCTTTTGGATGAGAGCAATGACCTGTAAAGAATCTAGGATAAGGAGAGAACTTTGAAATCTCTGTTGGCTTCATCAAAAGATGAGTCAAAGAATTTGACAGGAAAATGACCAAGAGGAAAGCACCGCCAGGGAGGGATCCATATCAGCTGAAGCCTTTCTGATGACTCATTAATAATGTTCACCCAAAAAAAAAGGATGACTCATTTCATTAATGTTCTAGACAAGGGATTTTGAAGAATATACAACAATTTCCTTCTATTCTTTTAATCCTTGCCCAAATAAAGCTCTTCCTTATAAATGCAAAAGTCTCTGAACAACTAGTGCCCTTGACCAAATAAGAGAAATAGGAATAGGATGATCATATCAAGACTAGTCCAACCATTTAGATGACAGAATTATTCGGAATAAAATAAAAAAGATGACAGAAGTAGTACGGCGGCATTTCTTCCCGACAACAACGCACATTTAGCGGGGACCCAAGATTTTATTTATGAGATTGAGAGATCCCTCAAATAATTTTATTTGTGAGACACCCTCTAGGGTACCCTATAAATGTTTTTTAACGATCCAAATCTTCTATTTTTCAAGTCTTCATTTATAGATTATTCTTGCAAAAAATCAAACAAATTGAAAATCATTAAGGCATCCAATTGCAAGCAACAAAATAGATGAACACAATGCGTCAAGAAAAGACTAAAATAACAATAATCTAATTGAGTGGGTCAAACTGTTTCGGATTCAAGTGAATTTTTGCAGAGATAATCTTTGAGGGAATATCTAAAAACTAGATGGTTTGGATCATTGAGAAAACAATGTATGGTGGACCCTACAAAGATGTCCTCAAATAAGCTTAGTTTTTATATAGGGCTAACGACTAAAGACTCCTTGAAGGTTTGGGATCATTCTCAATATGGGTCATGGGGTTTCAATTTCATCAATTTATACCCCAATGTTTTCAACTCTGACCAATTTAAATCCTCTGTTAAGTTGACCGTTTGGTCAGACGTTATGACGTGCACACTGTAGGACCTACCAATTTATTAATCCACAAAAAAAAATAATTAAAAAATGAACTTTTTGGGAGCACCAAAATCCAAGACCATTGCTTGGAGTTCTCCAATGTGGGTGAGCAAATGAGATATCCTTCAAGCACTCCCTATTACCCTCTTGAAACAAGCCAACTCTGACACCTCACTTTACCCATATGAAATAGTCATTTTTCAATGCTTAGCTTTGCCTGTTGGAAATAATAATGTCTCAATGCTTCCTTTTACACGTTGGAAATAGAATGGTTTCATCACCTCCTTTTACCCATTGGAAATAAAGGAAAGCCCTTGCCTTCTATAAATTAGAAGCCATGACACAAGTAGAGAACGACGTCTCTTGGTTGCTCAAGCACCCCAGCAACTATCAGACCACCTTCCTTTCTCCCTTCGGCTGTTGCAAGCATTCCAGCAGCCATCCCAACCAATCCTCAGCTATCACAACCATTTCTTCTATTTTCTTAGCCTTGAAATCCTCCATGTTCCCTATAAAGCCTCACCAAGCATAACTCCAAGCTTTTCCTTTCTCCTCATACCCTTCCAAGCTATAAACACCATAGCCTTCAAGCCTCAAGTTTTTTCTTCCATCATCCTTCTCTTGAAACTCTTAAATCACCATAGCCATAGCCACAACCACAAACAACAAATTATCAACACCCAAACTCAAGCATATCCAACACCAAGCCAAGCACATGCATTCTCATTTGCTAAACTTGTGGGTCTTTAGCTCCTACACTCTAAGCTTTCATGCCAAGCTCATACAATCTCGATTCAACATTAGGGACAGGACCCGAGTTGAATTCCCCCTCGGAACTTGTGTCGAATCTAGTTACATAATCTGACACCCGAACGATGCCGGACCAACTACTAACTTTACACCTCTCACCCGTACTTTTAAGAAAAATAGGGCTAGACTTTTACCAAAATTTCGGTATAGTCTCCCCTGTAAAATGGACTTTTCCCAAATTAACACCTACAAATAATGACAATCTAATAATCCCAAATGGCAGCACACACAAGATAAGGCACACACAAATTTCACATGGCCTTTGACCTCAAATTCAGTCTCACTGGCTGTGCCAAAAATGTTAATGGTGCTAATCTCACGGCCTGGTGCTCTGGGCCAAGGGGATCCACCTCAACACGGGTTTTCCTTCTTTGGTGCGGTGCGGTTGTGCGTGGGCATGCCAGCACGGTTTACCGTGCATTTGAGGATGATGTGAATGGATGGATGGATGAGTTGCACACCTGTTTGAGTCTGACTTTCAATCAGAGCGACTATGGCCGAGAGAGGAACTGATCTCGACCGTCAGGTTCACGACCTGAGCTACGAGGCCTTTAATGATGGTGTTAATGGTGGATTTTTAGGTGGTGCTCCGGCGCGTTGCTGGATTGCAACGGTCGTATGATATGTGGGATGAACGGAAAAGTAACAAGGATGGTGCTCTGGCGCCTTGAAAAATCAAGGGTCATATGATACATTGATGAACGGATTTTCCTACAATCTCCCACTACTCCTAGGAAAGCAAGTAAAGGTATTGAAAGTGCATTACAGGAAGATAAATGACAGAAGATAAGTGACAGGAAATATAATTTGCTTCGTCGGAGGCTTGTGTTTGGTGTTGACCCGTCTAAATGTAGTTGGAGCTTGGTACTTATAGAAGAGGCTATGGGAGGAAAGTGAGGTTGATATCTGCATGACGTGGTCGATCAGAGATAGTGGGTAGTCTAGACAACATTTGGGAATGTAAAGTATGGTGGTGTGACCCCTATAAATCTCGGTCGCCGCCGTGATCGTCGGTTCTGTGTCTTGGGCCTTGGAGGAGTATTTAATGTTTTGGTCTGATGGTTGGTGACTTAGTTTTACAAGTCATAAGATTTCGCACCTAATCATCCTGATTTTACTCACCATACACTGACCCTAATCACTTCCCCTCTTCCCTTATGCATTAAATGCAAGGACGAAAATTCTTCTTTTGCGCTGATCGTGGGTCCTCTGCTGCAGTCAAGAGCATTACCTCATTAAATGAAGCGTGGGACCTCAATGACATGTGGCAACGCCCCTTGACTTTTCCATTTTGGCAGTGTATTTGAGGGATTACTATTTTCTTTGTTCAAACTCACCTTGGTCATGATGATTTCGCCTTCATAGATCTCCCTTATTGTACGAGGAAAAGCGAATGACAACCTGATGCGTTCGGCTTTTGGGTAGGCGCCTTGGTCGAGAGGTTGTTCCTTTGGTTGGCCTTACAGGCCGAGATTTTTAGGCACAAATAGTAACCGGTTTACTTAACCCTAAACTCATTGATTCGGAGTATCCGGGACTTCAATTCTCGATCCGCGAATTCCTACATGATCCTAGAGGTGCAGAGAACAACATACTTGGAAATGGGGTCAATCCAATGGTCCGGACATATCGTACCCAGACATCACCTAATAGGCGTAAATCCGTTCGACTGTCAAACGATAAACAAATTCGAATCCATGCATATTGTCATACTCAGGAAGACATGGGGAGTGTTTTTGAATAAAATGCGCAGCCACCGAGTGGCCCACACGTCGCCACACGTGTTGGAAGTTCATGGGTGGCTTAAGAAAATTTCGGCGATGAAAAATTCTAGAAACACCTAACAATACCTATACCAACACTTTCAGACTAACAAGGGGAGCATTTTTTATTCTTGGACCACGGCCAAAAAGTGGCTGGAACTAGCCGGAACTGTATAGTTTTGACCGGAACTTCCCAACCTTGATACGGCTGCGACAGCCACTAATGGTGTCGCTCAACCTAGGGGAAAGCAAGAGGGAGGAGAGAGCTACTTGATCCAAGTGGTGGCGTGACCGGAGGTGGCTGGAAAAGTTGTCGGGGTCGCCTGCAGTTTTGGCCGATTTTTCCTTTCGAAACTGGAGGCGCTACATTGGTTTTGGACCGGAGAAATTGGGTGGGTTAGGTAGAGGGGGAGGAGAGGAAGATTTTGCAAGTCGTTTTGTCAAAAATGGTAGCCGGGCGGCGCCAGAATCTACTACGGAAAATCCGGCTGTCACGACGGAAAGAGAGAGGGAGAGTCGGGGAGGAGAGGGAGAGAGACGCGAGAGAGAGAAGGCTGACTTGGGTTTTTAAAATCTGACTTGGAAAAATTTACGGTTGTGCCACTGCACTTCCATTGACTGTAACTTCTTTGTTAAAACTCCGATTTGGGCCCACTACGTGTCTACGAACTTGTATCGACGAGCTCTACGCAACTGTGCCACTAAAATCCCAAAAATCCTTACGGATCGAAAAGTGACTAGAGTGACCTTACTCCAACAAATTAATTAAATAATAATTAATTTGGGTCGGGATGTTACAATCAGCAAGTCATCTTCAACCATCCAGAGCACGACCAATCAAGGTCTAAAATATCGGTTATATCGGAAATATCGGTAGGCCAAAAACAAGGAAATTTTGATGGAAATATCGGGATATTATCGATATCGATAAAAATTGAATAAAAACCACGGAAATTGTAAGAAAAACTTGGAAATTTTTGTTGAAACTTTGCAGGATGTTTATTTAGTCAATTATCTATTAGTTTATCAT